TTCGAACTGCTGTTTGGGAGACAGCCCCGGGGCCTTCTAGACGTCGCTCGGAAAGCGTGGGAGAACCAACCCGCCCCCCTTCGTAGCCTCGTCGAGCACGTGCGGGAAATGAGGGAAAGGATTGACCGAGTCATGCCTCTGGTTAAAGAACACCTCGTGACCGCCCAGCGCGCCCAGCAACGCCTGTACGACCGGCCCGCCCAGGCCCGGGAGTTCCAGCCGGGCGATCGGGTGGTGGTACTGGTCCCGACAGCTGCGTGTAAATTCCTAGCGACCTGGCAGGGGCCCTACACAGTAGTGGAACGGATGGGACCGGTGACGTACCGGGTGCGGCAACCTGGCCGCCGACGGACGGAGCAAATCTACCACGTTAACTTGCTCAAGAAGTGGGTCCCCCGGCCGGAGCAACTCGCCGCGCTGGCCCATACCGGCCCTCCAGTAGTGGACGTGGAACCGCAGCTGTCGGCGACCCAGAAAGCGGAACTCGAGGCCCTGGTCAGTCAGTTCCAGGATGTGTTCAGTGAGACCCCGGGTAGAACCACAGTCATCGAGCACGAGGTCCGCACACCACCAGGAGTCGTAGTCCAGCAGCGGCCCTACCGGATACCAGAAGCTCGCCGGCCGGCTATAGAGGAGCAAGTCAAGAAGATGCTCCAACTAGGAATCATCGAGCCCTCCCATAGCCCGTGGGCCAGCCCCATAGTGATGGTTCCAAAGCCGGACAACACCCTCCGGTTCTGTAACGACTTCAGGAAGGTCAATCAAGTTTCCGCCTTTGACGGCTATCCCATGCCGCGGGTGGATGAGCTCTTGGACCGGCTGGGCAAGGCTCGTTACATCAGCACCTTGGACCTCACCAAAGGATATTGGCAGGTGCCCCTCTCCCAGGAGTCCCGGGAGAAGACAGCCTTTAGCACTCCCAATGGCCACTGGCATTACCGGGTGCTACCCTTCGGCCTACACGGGGCACCAGCCACGTTCCAGCGGTTGATGGACATCTTGCTCCGGCCCCACCAAGCCTACGCCGCGGCTTACCTGGATGATGTCGTTATACACTCTGAGGGCTGGGAGACTCACCTGGAGCGTCTACGGAGGGTGTTGACGGAGCTCCGGCGGGCTGGCCTGACGGCCAACCCCAAGAAGTGCCACCTCGGCCTCACCGAAGCCAAATACCTGGGGTACAAGATCGGAAGAGGGCTCATCATGCCCCAGGACAAGAAGGTCGAGGCGGTAAAGAAGTTCCCACGTCCCGCCAACAAGACGCAGGTACGGGCCTTTTTGGGGTTGGCGGGCTACTACCGGTGTTTCATACCTAACTTCTCCTCTATAGCCTGCTCCCTGTCAGACCTTACCAGGAAGGGGCAGTACATACATATATACACACACACACACACACACACATATATATATTGTGGCGAGTATCCCGGTTCCAGATCAGCGACGCCCTGGAAACGCCGCTGCCACACAGATCACAGAAGCACAACACCTGTGCGTGATGAGTGGCGCACCTGGAGCTCGTTCCCGCTGGCCATAAAAGCCAGGAGCAGAGACACCAGCGGGGAGGCACACCGGAGCTCCAGGCGACATTAATGCTTGTTTCTCCTTACTCACAGACTCCGACGGCACCCCAGGAGAGGGATCTGCACCACGGCACTTCACCCCACGAGCACCACGTTGAGACGGGCACCGAGCACCATTCCTCCGAGCACGTGTGATCAGTGTGTGGGCAATAAATCACCTTACGGGGCTCTTTCTATCAGTACCGAGTCTGTGTTCTCATTCACCCCGCAACAATATATAGTATAGCATAGATCATTTACCTGTATTTATAGATTTGAGATACACTACTTTTCCCAAGTTTGGGGCCTTTTTTGAAAAAAGTCTCTTGTGCTCACCAAGACTGCATTTATTTAATCAAAAACACAGCAAAAACATTTTCAGTGTATGATGGCAATGCTGAATTTCCATTAATCATTACTCCAGACTTCTGTGTCACATGATCTTTCAGAAATCATTCTAATATGCTTATGTGGTACTCAAGAAAAATTTATTATTATTAGGGATGCAACAACTAATCGATATAATCTATAATGAAATTCGTTGTCAACGAATGCCGTTATCGATTAGTTGGGCTGAGCACGTGACGGGGGAGCGTGACTGCAAAATAACGCACACGATATGGCGGAGAGTACAGATCAACCGGCAGCAGGTGCCACCCACCATAAAACAAGAAGAAGAAGAAGAACCGGCAGCAGGAAAAAGTGTGCGTCCCAAGTCATCCAAGGCTTGGGAGCATTTTATATTAAACGCAACAAAGAAGACTGTAACCTGCAAGCTATGCAAAGCTGAGCTTGTGTGGCATGGAAGTACCACAGTGATGCACGAGCACATGAAAAGAAAACACACTGGTGTTACGGATGAAGGCGAAACATCAGCACGGTAAGCAAAAACCGTAAGTTATATCCTCATCATATGAAAATGGTATAGTTTAATGAAGTGCTATTGTGTAAACTGTTTGTTTGCTAACTTCGGGACAGTCGCACTACATCTGTTCTGATGCGACTCGCGAGCATCAGGTTGCGCAATCACCCCGACAGAATCAGTTAAATTAAAACGGTTGCGAACTGCGTCAAACACTAAATCTAAAAGCAGCGAATAACAGCTGTTAGTCAGTGTTGTGGTTTTCAGCGAATGCTTATGCATTTGTGCACCAATGCATATTTTTTCCCTTTCTTTTTATTCAAGCCTGTTAGCTTGCTGCGTTTCTCCTTTTCGTTCTCTCTTTTTTTTATAGCATTTGTCTACTACAACAGTTAACTTATTTTTTTTCAAACGTGATTTACTGCAGCTTTGCTACGTTAACATGATTGTATTCAATGTTTGTATATTTCATTTATGCATATATCATTTAATTATTATACAAAATTAAATGAATTATGAATTTTAGATGCTTATATCTTCACAACTGAACTGAACAATGTCTGTGATTTTTGTGAACATTTTATCATTAAAAACAATACAAATTGCTTCACCTTGCATACTCAAATGCTGTTTTTATTTTTTTGTTTTATTTTTTCAGAAAAGAACAACTCCGCATGAGTGAATTTGTTCAAAGGAGAAGTGAGCCAGCCTCAACCCAGAGCATGTGGACATGCTG